GGAGTACTATACAGCAGTAAAAAATAATGATATCTTGAAATTTGCAGGCAAATGGATGGATCTAAAAAAAACATATTGAGTGAAGTAATCCAGACCCAGAAAGACAAATATAATATGCATTTATTCATCAGTGGCTTCTAGAAATAAAGCAAAGAAAAACCAGCCTTCAGTCCACAATCCCAAACAACTAGACAACCAAGAGACCCTAAGAGAGACATACATGGATTTATATAGGAAGGAGAAAAAGACAAAATCTCCTGAATAAATTGGGAGCATAGGGGTCAAGGGAGAGAGCAGAAGGGGAAGGGGGAGGAAGGGAAGGGAACGTAGAAAAATGTATAGCTCATTAAAAAAAAAGATGTGGAGTTTAAAAAAAGAAAAGAGAATACTTCTTTTTGTAGTAGAAGCAATAGAGACCCAGGATTAGTCAAATTGCAGAGAATAAGAGACTATAAAATTCTCAGCATAAATGGGACATCATATCCTATTCCTTCCTCCCAATACTCACGGAGAAAGAAGGGTGGAAAGATTCTAAGAGCCAGAAGCAGTGTGAGGCTAAAAGGAAACTGTTTCCCATACACAATAGAGTAATTGAGCACATGAACTCGCAGCAGTTGTGACAGCAAACAAAACCTGTGCAAGTTCCAGTCAGACGAAATCTCAGCATGAAGCGGGGAGGTGGACTTGACGTCCCAGCCCTAGCCAAGAACTATGGGCAACTGATAGCTGACAGGAAATAAAGAGTCAGTTTCCTTTAAGTCAGATTTAAGGGCATGGATCCTGGAAGTTCAACCACGCTCCCCAGCGCATGGCCACACATCCAAGAATAATTGGACTTGTTGGTTTAGTTGGTGGGTTTTGGATGTGAAGTTCTTTTGTTGTTGTTTCATTTGGTTCACTTTGGTTTGTTTTTTGAGGCAGGGGCTTACAATGTCACAATGGCTGGCCTGGAACTTACTATGTAGACCAGGCTGTCCCTCTGCTTCCCCAATGCTAGGATTAAGGTATATACCTCCACACCCATCATGAACTCCATGGCTTATTTTAAAAATAAAAAAGGTGAGTGGCCGGAGAGATGGCTCAGAGTTTAAGAACACAGGCTTTTCTTCCAGAGGCCCTAAATTCAATTGCCAGCAACCACATGGTAGCTCACAACCATCTCTAATGAGATCTGGTGCCCTCTTCTGGCCTGCAGGCATACATGCAGGCAGAACAGAAATAATTTGGGGGGGGTGGATGTTTGTTTTTTGTTTGTTTTTGTTTTCTGAGACAGGGTTTCTCTATGTTTCTTTGAAGCCTGTCCTGGAACTAGCTCTTGTAGACTAGGCTGCCCTCAAACTCAAAGAGATCCATCTGGCCTCATACTCACAGAGATCCGCCTGCCTATGCCTCTCAAGTGCTGGGATTAAAGGCGTGTGCCACAACCACCTGGCAATAATTAAAAACGGAGCGGGGGGGGGGGGGGCACAAATATGGCTGGTTAAGGGTAGGGTATACCTGAAAAGAGTAGGGGAGCGTGGTTACTATCAAAATACATGGCATGAAAGTCTCAAAGTTAATTGAAAGAAAGGAACTGTGTCTGCCTTTAACTGAATAAAGTCTAATTTATAAGCAAATTTGGTTTTTAAAATGTGTTTTATCTATATCACCTTGGAGCAATGTGTATCATATTGTCAGATTCAGTTGTCAATTTCAATGACAAAGTACGTTTAAACACATATGGAGCTATACAGTTCAATTCCAATCATATTTCAACTGGGTGTGATGGCACATGCTTGTAATCCCAACACTCAGGAGATGTAGGATAAAGGATGGTAAATTTGAGGCCATTCTAGACCAGTTCTAAGCCAGCCTAGGATATATAGCAAGTTCTTCAGAAAACACCCTCAAAAATAGGAGGTTCTGAATTTGATTAAAAGCTTTAGCTACCAAAGACATGCCCCCTCTTCTAGTCAGTTCTCTGAAGACATTACCCAAAGGGTCCGGAACTTTCAATAAAGCTTCCAAGACACAGCTCCTTGGACCCTTCCGGTGTCTCTGGAAGACTGAGGTCATGGCATGAACCCATCACATGCATCTCCCGTGTTTCAGGTCACTGTGGCTCTGGCAGAGGGGCTTGAATTCCGTGCTAAAACCCTGAGAATAGCGTTGTATATGTTTGGAGTCTCCTTGGGAAGACAACACTTACTCATCAACCTCACGATAAAAAAAACAAATGAGTAAGCCCTCAAGGATAACGCTGAAGTGCTCCACCTCCCAAAGAGGAAATGTGTCCCAGCGGAAAGTGGCCACTGAACAAGCACTACTTCTGCCACATGTGTGTGCCGATAAGATGCTATGACGCTTAGTATTAAAACATTTCCCTATGTAACTTTAACAATTATGTCAATGAGGAGATTCCAAATTTAAAGATCTAAATATTTATTTTAAAAAAAGTTCAACCCCCAAATTTTTCAGGAAGAAAAAAAAATTTTCCTAAATCATTGTAGCTGTACTCACCCAAGTTTGTAGCCTTAGAAAGTGGAGTCAAACAGAAGGTTGGGATGTGAGTGGAGGGGGGCATGAATCTATGCTACAGTGCTAACCATTAGGACTTAACAACAATGTAGTTCTCTACTACACACGTTTAGTAGACTAACAGCAGCAGTTCATGCTTACCAATCTAGAGACCTTCAACTGGTCAAGGTGCAGAGAATAAGAGCCTTCTGAGCACTCGGACCTACATGGGACGTCTGTATCACACCCCTCCTCCCAAGGCTCAGGGATTACTTCAGAAAAGAGGGCAGAAAGCCTTAAGAGCCACAGGCAATGGCTGACTGCAAGTCAGCAGTGTTTTCCGAAAACAGGCATTTGTGTAACATGTCTGTTCATTCATTCAGTTTTTCCTCAGAAATGAACTACCTCATCTTGTTAACTTCTCCGTTAAGGTTGGCATGAGCCAAGGACGAAATCTCTCGAAGGAAGGGATGACTATGGCCCAATTATTTCTCTCCACTTGACGATATTTTACAAGTGTAGGGATCCCTCTACATACCTAACAAATGTAAGTGCTACAAACTGTAGAGGGATCTCTACTTAGCTTAGAAATAAGAAGTCAAGAAGGCTTCTTTGAGGGTTACTTAGAAATATTTCAAAGGGGTCTAAGAAAAAACTATCCTGGAAATGTTGGAAGTCCCCAGAAATGAGAGTGGTAACTGTGCGGTAGTGATTGCAAGGGATGCTGGGAGATGCTGAGGTAAGATACACCAGCCTTGGGCCTCACTGTGATGGAAGTGTGAGAGGAGGGCAATTAATACGTGATTGGAAAATGGGGCTGTTTCCCACTAGAGAATTTTCACTAACATGGCTCAGGAATCTCACACTGCCAGTCTTGGAATGTTGTAGCCTAGCACCATAGAACTTCAGCCGGGAGGCTTGCGGCCTAAACCTTGGGCCAGGACTGAACCATGAGCAGCCAGTGCTTCCCTTATTTGCATGGCAGAAATTGCATGGGCAGCAGGTGAGGTACCCGGCCAACCTGGACTGCCCTCCTTCACACGGCACGAATAACAGGTCAGGACAGTGCACACAAAGAAACACACCCTAACTGAACAATTTCCTAAATGGAGGAAGCCCAGCCCCACCCTCACCCCAGCCAAGAGTTCTATGCTGGGGTGGTACTGTAGCACTGCCTCAACCACTTCCTTCTTGCATTATATCCCAAAGCTATTTCTCCTGTGAGGATTAAAAGTGAATTCCTCCACTGCCTGACAGTTCCTTCCTGACTACTGGCAGCTCAACTCAGATTGGTACAGGAAGGTTTTTCCACTCTCTGCTAAAGCAATGGGAAACTCTGAGGAAGTGGTAAACAGGGGGATGCTTGGTCAGGCTTAAATTTCTAAACTTTCATCCCATTAAATACAGAATGAGGGGGAGGAAGACAAAGGGAGATTTAAGGAACAGGACAGAAGAGAATGCCAAACTGACTGCCAGAAGAATGAAAGGCTTCCAGGGGTACGGGGGAGACTGAGCTCAGTGTGGACATGCTGACTTGAGAGGTCTAGAATCCTTTCAAATAGAGATTCTGACCAAGAATACACTTTGGGAACTGAAGTGAGACGGCCTGCACAGAAGATGCTCACAGGAACTCATCAACACAGAGACGGGGCTTGCAGAGTGAATGGGACAAGATCAATAGAAGAAGAGTAGAAGGAGGTGCAGAGGAATCCTGACCCAGAGTCCAGCCTGGTTCTTGCAAGTTCCTGGTCTCCATTCTGAGTACCTGTTATGGGTCACGTCTTTGCCATGCTTTAGCGTATCTCATTGCTCGCCACCTGATTACATGCTACCTGCTTCCTATTTGCATCTGAATTTTAACTCTACTCTCTCTGCTCTGATGTCCTGAACCCCTTGCTATGCCTGCTGCACACTGTCCAATGGTGACTTAATAAACACTTCCTTAATAAATTTAGGGCTTGACTGCCAAAGGTTCTACACATGCAACAGAGACCAGTCTTGCCTCCCTCCTGGTAGGTATTTCCCCAGCAGACGTATGAAGAAATCTTCCTCTGAGCTCACGGGTTATCATCACATCTGTATTTTGAGCTATTGACAATGTCCTAATGCAAAAATGAAGTGTCCTATGGGATGAGGGGAGGAGCAAGGCCTCCAAGATCCCTGTCGGGAAAATAAGATCAGCTGTTGCCATTTTCCCAACTGTCTTTCTCCACCTCTGGAACAAACACACGAATTTGATCTTAAAGAAGTGTCTGCTTCTATCCCAGCTTGTGCTTCACAAACAGCCGCTGTCCTCTGTTCCCCACAGTCACCCCAGAAGATGCAGCTGGGAACTTAGTTCAGGTTCTAAAGAGCGAGTCAAGAATAGAAGATGTCTCTGTTGGTTTACCTGTTTGGAATCCGATTGCTCTGGACCCAAAGTGTGCGGGAAACTACACGCCAACAGAGGATAAGCAGGAGAGGACAGGCACACGGCAAGGTTTGCTGGTTTGCCACATTCATACCTTTGCAGCCAGCCGACACTCCATCACCCTGAGGTTGAAATGGGAAGTGGCCGCCTTGTTCATTTCCACGCAGCTGTTGGCAATCACAAAGACTGCCCCACTGGGGAGTTTCACGTCAGTTGCTCTCAGAGGACTAAACTCTATTAACTTGGCCTGTTGGAAGAGAAGATTAGGATTCAGAAGAGCATTCAAGCTTTCGTGCGTTTATTTTATCTTAAGAAAGTCTTCTACAGCATCATTTACTGATAGCCAGGCACTGCGCTAGGTGCTGGAGACACAACAGTGAACAGGGCAGGGGCTGCCGCTGCCCCCCAGGAGTGCACAGTTGCTTCAGAAGCCACGAGATTACGTTTCCACGTGAGTCACAGCGGTAGCACTGTGAAGCTCAGGGTCTTACCCTCTCTTAATGGAAGGACTGCTCAGACAACTTAGTGTAGTCTCTGAAAAGGGAAATGTAGACTGAGTCCTAGAGAACGCTTGAAGACGTCAGAAAGAAGGAAGAGTTTCTGTCCTGTGGGGCAGAAACAAACACATCGGTGGGAATGGATATCAGCTTTAGGCGCTGATATCTGGCCAAAGATCACAGCTGGAGAGTGAGAGGCTAAGCTGGAGGCAGAAACTGGGGGTCAGGTGGTAACTGCGCTTTGCAAGTCCAGAGAAAGAGGGCTCTCTTCAGACCCTGCACCAACCTTACACCAACAGCAGAACTCCCGCTACCACATCTGCTTGCCAGTTCACAGCCAAAACACCTCAAGTATAATTTTAGTGTTAAAAAAGACTTTTCTCCTACCTCATGTCTTTGACTTAGAAGAATCAACAAAAACATATTCTTAGTAGAAGGATCCAGGTGTTCTTGGAAAACAGCCAAACTTGAAGGAATCTCATGCAAAACTAAGACAGATCTTAAAAAGATGCCTGCTTCTATTTCGGTAATGGGCAGTTCACAGGCAAAAACCCAAACCTCTGCCTTGCCTGAAGGAGCTGATAGCCAAGAGGAAGTGGTATTTAACCGAAGAATTTATTCCTGGCCCACCATCAACATTCTTCCTCCCACCGCCAAAGCCCCAAAAATGTTGACAGAGAAAAATGACACCAAAGAGTAATTTACAAAAAGAGGGGCTGTGCATATATGTGGTAAGAGAACTAACATTTGGGTTTAAAGCCAACGTGAGATTATGAAACACCACAAGATGAAGTGATTTCATGCAAGGTCAGGAAAGGAGGTCCCAAGGAGAGAATTGAGAAACCTCATCTTAGTAATGAGATATGGGGAGAGGGGGGATCTAGACACATGAGAAAAATAAGTTTGAGGGGTGATTCCGGATGCTTAAGGTAGAGGAACTCAATATGAAATAGGGTGCGTTCACTACCATCAGCCCTGACTCACGAAACAGCTGGGCAGTGTTCTCCAGTAGAGCCTGAAAGACCAGGCTTCCCATAACCAAGCATGCTGCAGGCTGCAGGCCTTCCCTGCCAGAGATATTTTCCCAAGTCAAAATTTCCAAATGGTTCAATGCTACTTACAGTTCCTTCTTCTGCAAGAAATGATATGGACTGGTCCATGCCTCCTCCTTCAGTGCCTATGTAACGCTCACTCTTGGCACAGATTTCTGCAAGTTCCACCTGGAAAACCAAACAGTCGTTTGTACTGTGATATACTTGTAGCCTAGTTTTCATGCCAGATATGTCAAATAGGTTTGAATTCCAGTTCCAACTCTGCTCAGTTACATAGCAACTGTGTAGAGCAATGTATTCTGCACAGCATCTCTAGGAAAGCTTAGCAAGATCAAGCAACAGCTCCACAATGGGTCTAGAATGAGAACAGAACATGCGTGCTGGTGTTCAGATCCCTAAAAGACTCTGCAGAGCAAGCAGCTCTCCTCATCTGTCTGTTGACACCACTTCTCTCCTCTGGCACTAATTCCTTTGCCTTTGTCTGGAGACACGGTGACTATTCCAGTGTCTCCAAAGCCAAAGCAGGTCCAAGGTTTTCAAGCCGGAAGTAATGCTACCTCTTGACATGTCTATTAAGTGCAAGAATAGAACCTCTCACTCTAGGTACAATCATGATGAAGAAAGCTGGATGAAAGGGCATAGTCCTGACCCATACTAAAAATATTAAAGGACCACTAGTTGCTTCTTATTGATTAATATGCTAAATTCAAAGTCTTCATCTTGCATCCAAAGTCTTCTAAAATTGCAACCCAACTGAACGTCAAACTGGATTGTCTATCATTGTTTTTAAGTAGAGGTGTCTTCTTGACCATCTCACGTATTTATACAACCCGGTGCCACTTCCTGCCTACTATACAAATCCTATGGCCACTCAGTATCCAGGTCATTGACTGCATATATGAGCAAGCTGGCCACTCAGATTTTCTGTCATCATGGAGGCTTCCTGAAATACTGTCCCCATTCTAGTGTCCTATTTCTCCCAGACCCTGAAACTCTGATAGGGTCATCTAGTTACCCACATGGCTATTCCTGAGGTTGAATTTGGGGCTTTATTTCTCATCTCATCTATTAGACGTTCAGAAGGATCACGGCAAACACTGGTATACTACAGTCTTCTCTTGCCCACTTGCCTGCCTACATCTTCTCGACGTGGTGTACAGGTTCTTAGCTCTCTGCTCCCCCTCTACCTGTTCTCCCAGTGTCCCCCACAAACCCTCAGTCCAGAAATGAGGAACAAACCCTGTTCTTCCTGACTGTCTGGCATTCACCCCTCCTCGGGACTCTTCCATCTCTGTTTCAACAACTCAGCACCCCCAAATTTATACAAGCCACAGAATTCCTCTCTGTTCTCCCTACTTCTAGTTTATTTTGAGCAATGCTTTACGTGGATTTTCTTGTCTCTCTCCAGCAGACTATGGGGGTCCATGCAGTACCCATCCCAATGCCCACTTAAGCAGGCCATCCTGGACAGGGTACTTATCACTGGTCCTTAACTGTATCGTGTTTCCACTTCCTCTCTTTTCCCTAAAAAACTTAGTCTGTGAGAGAGACGCTGTGGTGTTTCCCCAGTGTCATGGCCTTTCATACTGCCAGGTGTGGGCTAACTCCATAAACTGCTGCTGCTTCCCTTCCTGAGAAGAGCTGCCCAGATGCCGTCGACAGCTTCTGCAAGTGTCATTCACGCCTCTCCTTGGTCATGCGGCTTCAATAACGCTAGCTTTGCCTTGTGACATGAGGCAAACATGGGACTTTGGCACCAAAGGCGGTGCACATGACCTGATGGCACAACAGCCAGGGGCCTGTCCATAATAGACACATTAAAAATAAATTGGTGACCAAAAGGGCAAAACACTTGTACTTAAAATGCAAAGAAACGACGTGCCCAGACAAAGCACTGCATACGGCAATCTGTGAGCAAGCAAGAGTCTGGCTGCCAACCTAGCTGTGACCTTGGGGTAAAGCCAGCTTTCCCAGTGCAGCAATACCCACCATCGCTGAGTGAAAGCTGTGTGCAGACTGTGAGTGAGGAATCAACCACACACCTTCACCAACCCTGTGGTACAGAGGGCGGCGAAAGCCAGTGACTCATGCTAGATAGGAGAAGCCGGAACCTGAGGTTCATCCATCTGACCCTGAAGTCCAAGTTCACTTCACACTTGAGTGGTTCCCCCCAAATAAGGCTAATGTAACCATTGTTCCGCCTGCTGTCAGGGAATGTGAAAAGACAAATGGGCGTCACCAAAATGTTAATATTCTCTGTTTTACGAGGAGAAACATTAGAGCAGTGAGAAGTATTAATTACTTGTTTATAAAGCTCTTAAAGTGGGTTGCCAAGATGGTCCCCAATAAAGGCACTTGTCACCAAGCCTGAAGACTTGAGTTTGATCCCTGGGACCTACAGGGTAGAAGGAGAGAACTGACTCCTACAAGTTTTCTTCTCTCTCTCTCTCTCTCTCTCTCTCTCTCTCTCTCTCTCTCTCTCACACACACACACACACACACACACACACACACACACAGACTCACGCACACACACACACTAAATAAACATTTAAAGCTCTTAAAGTACACCATTGTATACTTTAGTAGTTATAAGATGTTGTTGTGTGTGTGTAAACAGAATTCAGAGTGGCACCGTGTCACGGAGCACCTACCCACAGGGAAAGGGTCATCACAAACCTTGCCACCACTGTGTCTGACAAATTCAAAGCAAGCAGACAACGCCCAACAGTTTCCAGTGTGAGAAACAAAGAAAATGAGAAAGAGTGAAGAAAATGAAGGAACGAATTGAAAGATAAAGATTGATCTCATTGACAGAACCTTGGGGTACATGGAAAAAAATATACAGTGAGAAGAATCCAATAGCAGAAGCTTCCTAACCATGGCTAAGCCAGAATTCTCCTTCCAACCAGCTGTGTGAACTTAGGTGAGATGCTTCACTGTTTCCAGGTTTTACCTCTCATCTGCTATTAACAGTAACAATAGTGTTAGTAACAGAAGATTTACTGAGCACTTACTGTATGCTAAATACTGCTCCAGTGACTTTACCTCAATTACTCACTTCTCAGAGTCCCATAAAACAGATGCCTCTCCATTTTGCAGATGAGGAGACTGGGTCATTTGTTGGATAATATTAAACTGGAAGTTATTAAAGCTAAAACACAAATTCATTTATCTAGCTCCAGCATCCATATTCCTGATTACCAGGCTATATCACCTCCCATTTATATTGAAGAGAAAAATAATGTCTTCCAAGCCACAGGATTACTGTGATGACCCTAAGACTTGACTTCAAACAACACAGGATCACAGTGCTCTAATGCAGCATACCAGGGTTGACAAGTGTGGATTATTATTTTTTTTTTGCAAATGAAGAATCATTTGATTTCCACAAGAAGATAGCTAAAGATGAAATCAAATACAGGATGCCTTCAAGATGTTAATGGAAATAGAGAATTTTAAAGATTCTGGAAATCTCCACAGCAATAAAGAATAATGAACCATCAAGAGACCAGCAAAGTGGGGCCCCACTCGAGCTATCTCTGTCCAACTGCAGAGCAGAGAGTCCTCCCATGCAGTAAACAAAGCCTGCCTGCATGGAAAATTCAACAGCGGACCCACCCACTTGCTGGTTTCATCAGTAGTCCTAGCTGTGAGGTCCCAGTACTAAACAGGGGGCAGGGGGTGGAGGATGGGTAGGTGGGGAGGCAAGTCCTAGATGAGTAAAAGACATAAAGAACCTAGAAGCAAAGGCTAACAGAAACTCAAAACTGACATAAGGAAAACATGTGCATAAGTCAGAGAGCAAACAAAATTAGTCAAGCCCACAGCCCAAGCCAGAGACTATAACCTGAGCTCAAGGAGTCATCCAGGAGGGCCACTGGGAACCAGGTCCTAACTCAGGGTCATGTGGGATCCGCCCAAGCACTTTCTGTCTATAAGATTCTGGAAACAGAGTCACCACACATATGCCAAGAATTAATCAACCACAGCTACTCACACAGGCACTATATTGGTGCTTCCAACTTCTGAAATTGTGTATGACTTCAGTAGACTTCACAGAATTAAGAAGCCACAAAAAGCATGTTAACAGGCATGTTTGGGGAAAATGAGCATTCTGGAGTCAACCCAGGGGAAAGTGAGTGAACTCAGGGGCCAGTGCTGTGCAGGAAAGGGCAAGCTCACATTTCTGTCATGGTCGAGGCATCTGAATGCTCCTGATTCCTCTACGCTACTAGTACACAGCCTGAAACCCTCCAGCAAAACCAGCAAAGCTTGAGCCTAATGGGGCTCACTCTCTCTCTCCCTTCACATTTTCCTAGCTCTTGCAGCTATGCACTTGAGAGCCAGGGTTCCTTTCAGCTAATCTCCCTCATCCTTAGGGACAACAATTGGACTACGGATGTTCTGCAAAGCTGTGGGTAGAGGAGAAGGCCAGAGTCTGCCCTCCAGGAGCCAGCAACACTGCTCTCATCTGCAGATCTTCCAAAGAAGACAGAACTCTACTGTGCTAGGCAGCTTCTACCTTTGCTTCAGTGGGCTCAGCACCTGCCTTAACTCTGCAGTCCCCTGAGAGGGCTCCCTGAAGGAAGGTACCAGCATGTCCTCTGCTTCCCTAAGACTGTCAGGAATGTTGGGAGGGAGAGGAAGGCAGGTAGAAATCTAAAGGGCTCCCCCTGCCTCTCCCTCACCTCAAAAGCATCTGCAGTGCTCACTTCTTGCAGGCCTTCCCTACCCTTCAAAACACTGGGTTCTTATGGGGACCAAGCACTTCCCCAAAATGGCAACCCCCTGAGAAGTACCTATTCATGCTGTGATCCCAGGGTGTTTTACAGCATGGCTCACTGCTGTGTTCCAATCTGGAGACCATCAAGGCGCACCACAGGAAACAACAGTACCCAGAAGCTGCACAAATTTCTTTTACAAAGATGTGACTGCTAAGTCTTCACATCTCTAATAAAGAGAAAACTTATATCTGCTTCTTTCTTTCTTCCTTCCTTCCTTTCTTTCTTTTTTTAACTACATGAAACTTTTTCTGAGGATAATGATAGCTAATTCCCAAAGTGAGCATGGCAGGTAAAACTGATCTTGACAGTCAAGGCTGAAATTTTCTACATGTAATAGAGGAAATGGAACAAGGAGATCAAACATTGAGCAATTAGAATCTG